TGCCGATTGGCTGCGGCTCTCTGTTTGGTCGCAGCTTTCTGAGATCATGCAAGCATCGTGGTAGTTACTTCACTGCCTGTTTTGCTGCCTCACATGTCTATGATCACCCTGTTTCTGCAATTGGTAATCATGTGACCGTGACAAATGGAGATTGAACTAGGGCTGCACATTTAATCGCATTATGTTTCTCATGATTATTCAAGCATAATCGTCTACTATGTTTGTGTTATATCCAAACATGAATCTTGACTACATTGTTTGCATTGGGGTTGCTAAATAAATGCACTTATGCTACCTCTGTATTAATAGAAAACCATTAACATAATTTGGAATTATTGTAAATAATAGATATCTCACTGTTTTGGCTTTTGGAGCTTCTTACCAGTTTTCATAATATAAAGAAATTAGGTAAAGTTAATACTGCGCTCGAGTTGGCGTTTTCTTTATTTGTGCTTCATGAAAGTACAATAATTGAATGAATGAATGAATTCAATTATTGTATACTATAAGTACTACAAGTACAAGTATAAATACTACAAGTACCTCTATACTTGTAGAGCTCTGCAGAGGAAATGATCATGTAACATCTCATCATTCACTTGTTTATTGCTCAACTGGACCATGTTAGCCTGCATCACAAGACTCTTTATGATATGGACTTGCATTGTTGTCGTGGCCTAGTTCCCTCCAGGTGTTTTGCAGTTTAAAGGTAAGGGACGGGTGAACTTGTGACAACGGAGACTATTCAGATGACATCATCCTGCGGGGACGCTCGCTCATCTCACCATGCTGTTCTAGAGTTCATAACAACAGTTCAGAGAAGCATGATTATCTCTCATTTGTAGGCTTGCTACAGAGACTCTTGAAGATGGATTGCTGCACAAAAGGTTCTTCATTCAATCATAGGAAACTGAGCAACCACAGATTGTGAGAGGTGGAAAGGACAGCACTCTTTAGTGCATTTACGACACATCTCTCCTCTGAGCGAGCGAGTGTGGCAGTGTTTTGAGGGAGGAGGGGAACATCAGTCCTTATTCGTAGTGAAGGAGGAGCTCTTGTAGTGTTTGACATACACGTGTGAGTCAAGCTGCATGTTTGAGCTGAGCTTTGATATGACAGCAAACATGAAGACCGGCGAACGAGGAGGTAGAACGTGGGAGCTGTAGACCGGAAAAAAAGGAGGAAGTGAACATTTCTATGCCTTTTTTCCTCGAATGTGTGGACTTGAGAGATTTCTGATTCCTGCCAGAGTGTGTTTGGACTAAAGGTGCGAAACGCCACACTCTGAGAGACATGACAGGAAGACGAAAGGAAAGGTAGATCGTTCTGGAAGCCAAAAGGAATAAGTCTCCAGCAGAATGTGGCCTGAATATTGCACCGAACGGAGCCTGAATGCTCATCTGCACGCGCTCATGTGCTGCGCAGGTCAGTTTCTATTTGTGTTCCTGTGCGTGTGTCGTCACCTAGTCACATGGGTGCTGTGATTTGTGTGTCAGAGGATGTGCTGATTGCTGATATGTTTGTCCACTATTGTCGTGGTGCTGGATCAGTGTGCGAGCCCACGTGGATGAGCATGAACATGACTGTGTGAGTTTCTGTACCATGTTTGCACAGTGTAGGGTGTGTGAACCAACACAACAACTCAGTGTACTGAGGAACAAGAGAATGTGCCTCTGTGTGACAGTCACAGACATGTGGATGAAAGGGAATAAGATATTCTAAGAAACAACTTGACACAATTTCCTGTTAAAATACTTTTGCAATAGTGTGTGTGTGTGTGCTTGAATCAGGTCCACAATGCAAAAGTGGGTGTGTGAGGTATGTGGAAAGCTAAAAAGGTGTGTTTGCTTCACTCATTAAAAGTATCAACTCCTGATTCAAAAAACTGTTTGGATTCCCACACAATTCTCACGCTAGTAGAGAACTCTTTTTATTTTCATTTAGGAAGGAAATATTAAGTATGCAAAAATATCGCCGTATCTTTTTTTAATTGTATATACAGTTTACCAAAAAATCCTAAAGTTGAATGTCCGGCCATCTGTTCGTGATCTCAAGCTGAAGCGAACTTGGGTTCTGCAGCAGGACAATGATCCAAAACACACCCGCAAGTCCACCTCTGAATGGCTGAAGAAAAACAAAATGAAGACTTTGGAGTGGCCTAGTCAAAGTCCTGACCTGAATCCTATTGAGATGCTGTGGCATGACCTTAAAAAGGCGGTTCATGCTCGAAAACCCTCCAATGTGGCTGAATTACAACAATTCTGCATAGATGAGTGGACCAAAATTCCTCCACAGCGCTGTAACAGACTCATTGCAAGTTTTCGCAAACGCTTGATTGCAGTTGTTGCTGCTAAGGGTGGCCCAACCAGTTATTAGGTTTAGGGGGCAAACACTTTTTCACACAGGGCCATGTAGTTTTGGATTTTGTTTTCCCTTAATAATAAAAACCTTCATTTAAAAACTGCATGTTATGTTCACTTGTGTTATCTTTACTAATATTTAAATTTGTTTGATGATCTGAAACATTAAAGTGTGACAAACATGCAAAAAAATAAGAAATCAGGAAGGGGGCCAACACTTTTTCACACCACTGTATATATATTATATGTGCATATATTGTGACTTTGAGAGTGGGATGTTCTGTATGTGTTTTTCGGCGGAAGTGATCCGTCTGCACCACATGGTTGCTTAGTATTGCTGTGTCTCTATAGCAACCACATCAACTGTAGCCTCACTGTAAGAGCCCGAAAGAAAGCGGCAGATAAAGCAGGAGTGTAATGAACTCATAGCAGGGTTGTGTGATCAATTTCTATTCTGTGCTTGGTTGCGTCATTAGTCTGGCATGTTCAGAATAAGAGACAAAACAGATCTGAAGTTCATGTCTCATTTCAAAACTTCCTGCCTATAAATCTTTGTTTGCAGTGTTTTTAGATCATATCAATATCTGTGGCATCAGGTGTCAGATCAAGACTGATATGTCAGCTGAATTGCATAATGTTCAAGATATTTGTGCATTTCTGGATACGTAGAGTGTGGTGTGATGCAGCATTAGGCTGAACATTCACTTGTCATGGTGTTCTGAGCATGTGTTCATGTGTGACCTCCTACATGTTATAGTAATTTTTCTAGAATTTAGGTCAGGTGACAACGGTAATGAACCTATTAACTGGTCTTTTTTTAACTTTCAGCCTAGTTTCCAATTTTACCAAACCTCTGCTAATATAGCAGATACTGATGTATCTCTGTAACCTGTTTTCCTGTCAATTTTATTTGTTAATATTGTGGATTTAATATGACATTCTAAAAGGCTTTATAAAATAGTAATAATAATAATAATAATTAAAGATAAAAATAATGGATGTTTAAAAAATTACTTTCCATTAAAAAAA